CTTACAATCCTTCAGCAGAAGCTATACAAATATTTGTTTTAAAAAACCCAGTTATGATACAAATAACAATTGCAAGCTCATTATAATGATCACCGTCACTCTAAAATGAAATTAAAAATGGCATTTCTATTATACCACCGATCCATTGGTGCTGTAGTTCCATGTACAGTAAAGTGTTAAATTTGTTTTCCCTGTCCCCTTTCTGATAATGCTAGCTCAAAGGAATACCAACACAGTAAGAGTTAGTCCTTTTATTTATTACTGTGAGCACCTTCTTCTCAATAAACATCACAGATCATATTTGCATGAATACATGCAGTGAAGCAAATGGACCAGTAAACAAACTTCCAAACAATCATACACTATCATCCATGAAGCAGACAACTGCATTACAAACTAGATTTTACAGTACACAGTACAGTATGAACTATAGTCGGTACTAATGGAGATTAATCCCATGCTGAGATCACCGATCATGATCCAAAACTATCATCACTAACACTGACAAAGAAAGATTATGAAACAGATTTTTTTGGCCAGACAAATGAGATCCAGATTTTCCTGTTCGTATCAAATGGATACTCTTACATCTTCTATTTTGTGGAAATGTTGGCTGTTAACTGTTATCGAAATTTAGTCTGAGTCTCAAAAATGGCACCACCACCAAATGGCACCAAATTCAGCTGCTTAATAAAAAAGGAAACAAAGAGTTTGCTAAAAACCTGTTACTGCTTTAGGAGTAGGAAGGAGTGTTACAGAAACTTTGGTTGCAGTACTTTATGACCTCATTCCCAGTAAAATATGCAAGAAATGTGTAAATTTAGGAATTCTGATGATAGCTCTAGTCCTAATCCTGTCTTTTCACATCAAAGGTGCATCTCACACGTACAAACTATCCTGTCCAATAACTGCTATAGGAAGCATGTGAAACTTGCTGTCATGTAGGCCCCTCATGCTGGACTCAATGACCTTTCCAAATTCATAGTGGATCGAGTAGCATGAGTGAAAGAGTCAATTGCATCTTCAGTCCTCATTACTCATGTAGGATGATTAAAGCTAGCTTTCAAGACAGGTTTAAAGTCACAAAAAATGACCCTCCTCTTTCGAGTTCATGCACAGCAAGCAGCAAAATTAAAACTGTTCCAAGTCCAAGCTCTTTAAGCTCTTTCTTTGAAAGAAAGCCAAAGATAGGAGTAGGTAATAGTCAAACTTAAACAACACTGCCTTCACATAGAGCTGACCTGCAAATCCTTGCACATCCAAGAGCAACATACAATGCAGTTTGATCTGGAAAGACAGACGACAAGGGATGATAACGCCTAATTACTGTACGCTTCACAGTGAAACTTGGAAATTACATTTCAGTATGAAGTCTTTGAGATAGTCTTGATGATAAATTGAGCAGTACTTATTACACTGGAACTAGGTCAAGACAGCACCCTGTGGCCCTGTGTGAACAATTAACACATTCTATTAACTTTGACTCATTTGGAAAATCCACCTCATGGGTCTTCCCCTCCTGAGTCCACAGCCCCTCTCAGACTGTGCAGCTGTGGAGGCCTGAACAGATGTTAATCAACTGCAACACACCTGTTTGAACAGCGAGGAAGCCCTAAAACCAAGGCAATGGAAGAAAGCAGCATCGTACACATTCCATCCAGAGAAAGACAGCTATTCCGTTTTCATCATTATTCTTGACATCTCTATTGGTGGAATTTTGACAGGTCTAGGTAAGTGTTTTTATGAAAAGAAGTGGAAGCTTTGCAGTTTATTTTTAAACTTGTAAAAATGCACATTTGACAGGTCTAAAAATGTTTAACAATGCCCAACAATTGTGAAAGAATTCCAGGAATAATTCAGGAATCTCTCTCAGAGTTCCTTTAATTTTTATTCTCAGTCATTCCAATACAACTCCAACCTAACTTTAAAGTTAACTGAACTCCCAGTGTTTAGACATCTGATCAACACCTTAAATCTGAAGGAAAATACAGGTGCTTTCCCATTGCTTGATTGTAAGACTACACGCATGATCTTGTGTTAGTTACATGGTTGTACTTCATTCTCCTTCAGTCATATACTTAAAGGTTTATACTTGATGGCAGAAATGATAAGCCCAGAGTAACCTCAGCTACAGTAGTAATATTCACCTAGCTTTGCTTCACTGATGGCAGGTGATTCCCCAACAAATAGAAAAGCTGCCTGATTATTTGTATTTTCCTTTTTGCACCTGACCGCAAAATACAGTGTTTCTTGGGCTCATGAGTTGAAAAAATAACTTAACCTCTGCCCTCCACCCCTACCCCCCAATTATAAAACAAAATCCTGCCCTGATACATGACTTTAATGTGGTTTTCTTACAAGGCAGAATGTTTCTTTTGAAAAGCTGGACTGTTAGCTTTTAAATGCTGCCAGAAATTAAGAAAGACCACTTGATTCTGTGCTTTACTGTCATTCTCAATTGGAAATTGCTCTTAAATGCTTTTTTCGGAGAAAGCTCGGCTACAGATCAGCTTGCTTTGTTGTGGCTTATTCAGAGATGCAGGAGCCAGCTGTAGTGCCCCCTGTGGAATGCTCACAGCTCCAGTAATTAAATGAGCACCTGACAATAACGTGCAGGAAACCATTTAGTGCTGAGACTCTGGCCCGAGCTACTCCAGGAGATTAATCTTGTTCAAAAGCTGATAAGGAAAAGCTGCCTGCAGCGTTTCCAGGGTGCTTTTATATGTCATCACAACATACAGAAATAGCCACTACTAAAATACGAAAGTTTATTTGAATGGCTGCTTTTTGTTTGCCTTCGTTTGATTTTTATTAATATGACTCAGAGGAAACTCAAGTGTTTTACAAGCTCCTTGATGTGTTCTGGCCTTCCGAATTGGACAGAACTAGGGTTCCAACTTAATCATCTTAAAGTTAAAGGGATGGCTCAATAGGTTTCAACATTGAGTTTTTATAATGATACTGCTCTTTTATTAGGTCAAAATCTATTTTAATTTGTAATGAATGAACATTAAAGCAGAAACGTTTATCTACATTTCCATTTACTTATAGCAATAATCGCGAAACTGTTGTATAACACCCCAATAACTATGTTTGCTCAAATGTTCAGTTAAACTACGCAGCTTCTATCACCACTTGATGGACCTAAAGAAATAAAGTATTCACCATCACGTTCTTCATTTCACTAGGGACAGCAACGTTCAAGAATGCGATGCTTTGGGGCTGTTTGGATTTACTAGGTGAGATAGGTTTGTCTTAATGCCCTTGGTTAAGGAGGCTTGAGGCCCATTCAGAGAAGAGTGAACCAACAGGCAGCTATAAGGTAGAGATGGGGCAGAGGAGGGATGCTAAAGATGAATTTGAGGGAAGGTGGTTGTGTTCGATACATAGAGCTAATTTTGGTTATGTATGGGATTAGGACCAGCTGTGTGAGATTCACTTATTGTTGTTGTTGTTGTTGTTGTTGTTGTCCCTCCCATACTTTAGTTAATAACATCCATTTAACAGTTGGAAGAATATCAATAAGACATCTAATGCTTTAAAGTGATTAACTGAAAAGCCAGCTTTTTTCATGAAAAAATGTAATTTTGGATATGTTTATAGATTAACTAAAAACCCTCTACTTACACTTGTGACAGCTGCTGTGCACTGGGTTGTTATAGACTCGATTTCCTAGGGAAATGCATCTCCCTCCTGTGGGAGACAGAAATTTGAAGCTGTTTTTACTTTTACCCACTCATCTGTAACTATCCCAGCTTCCCCTACTAAAGTTAGTGTTCTGTCAGAGGAGGTAACTTAAACTTTCCACAAGAAACAAAAATGGACCATGTTTGACCTTAAATTAAATAAAGTATATGGAAATAGGTGGAAATTGCTATGAAGAATGAAAAACAATGTAACATTTTGGCACACCATTCTTGTCCAAATGAAGATGAATTGCCTTTGTCATGAAACATACGTCTGAGATGTAACCCCTTCTATTGCTCTAGGTTAGTCAGCCACCAGACACCACAGGACCTCAGGGTTTTTCACTGCTCATACATTTAATCTTTTGACACACAAACTCTCCACAAATTAAACAATCACAGCCGCATTCACCCGGAAATTCCCACTGTAGAGACCAGTACTGTAGTATGAATTTACTTTTTGGAAACAAGATCCATTTGCGCTTGACCCTGAATAAGTCATGTCTGGGGTCTCATGGTCAAGAGTTACTGATCTGTTCAGCCAAAAGCAACACAAAACCTATTACAAATGTTATTGTCTTTGGCTCACTGAAAACTCCAGATTATACATTATCATCAAACGAATCAAGTTATAAAGTCTTCAATGTGCTTTTAAGTAGATTGTTTATAATTGAAGTATTTTTACTATGAAAGAAAGCAGTAGCACTTATATACCACTAATATAAAATGGCTCATTTTAGTAAAGAAAACCAAAAAATGTTAGTAATTTGACAAAGTTTGTTATGAATTTGGCTGGAAAAGGTAAAATTGTTGTGTCTTGTGAGTGCCCTATTTTATCGTTGTATAGTACATATTATTATTTACTACAATTACTGTGGTAGATAGAAGGCAAAATTTCATAGTAATGCTTCTGGTATGACTCATTGTGGTATACCATAAATTTAACAACTTGACCACAGTAAAACCATGGTGTGATGTAGTTGACTATGCTTACAATGGTTTACTGTGCTTGTATATTTTACCATAGAGAGAAATAAACTTTAGCCACTATATTTTATTTGAACACTTGTGTATATCCAAAGACACTTTAATATGCCTAGAAGGGAGTCATCATAATAGACGTTTTCTAAAAGCTGAATCAGATTTTTTCCGTGGCTGAGCAGAAGACAATCTCACCGATTTTCCCTGCTTCACCTTTACAATAGACAGGCAAGATATACAGCCTCTTAATAATAGGCTAGAAGTCAAATACGTTCTAATTTCTCGTTTCATCGCTCCCAGTACTTTAGTTCTAGTTGTAAAACAATCATCTGCACCCCTTAGTTGCTGTAAGCACGGAATTCAAGTCGCTCTTTCCTCCCCTCTGGAAAAGCGCTGAATCCGCAGCCGCGCAGCGCCAAGGAGTTCAAAGTCACGTGGCAGTTGGTGAAACTGTCACTCCAGCCCATAAAAAAAAAGTGTAATTTGAAGAAAGAGAACAAAGGAATCAGAGAGACTATAAACCCCCTCCTGGACATCCCTCCGTCACTCACTCGCTCCCGAGCAGGCTGCTCGCTCCTTCTGCCCCGCTGGACGAGAGGAAGATGCTGTCCCCTCTGCTCCTGGCGGGCGTGCTCGCCTTGCCTCTTTGCGCTCATTCTCTGCCAGTTACCGAGGGGAAAGGCACCAACAGGTACAAAGCAGCAGGGGTGAGTGAAAATGCAGTTTCCTTCCCATTCTCCCAACACGTCCTTGCTCCTTCGTTTCTGGTTAGCTTCTCATTATCCGAGGACTGATCAACACGCTATCTCCAGTGCGCATCGAAGTCATTGAGATGAATATGGTTTAAAATGTATACATGTATGCAGCACGTATAGATGTATTTTCACAGAGATGGGGGTCTCCCGTGGACAGTGTTTTTTTTTTTTATTGAATCGACGTGGAACGAATTTGCTTCCAGAAAAGGGTATTTCCTTAGCTTTTCTCCTTGTTTTCAAGCGACCTGACACTACCCTCTAAAATAACCATTAAAGTTGTAAAACCATCCGAAAAAGCATGTTTTGTGTAGTGTCATCACTAGAAAAAGAAGGCATCGATATATACTGTAATGGCAAGCAGCTGTCGGCTATCTTTATTGCGTGTTTATCCACCAGCGGGATACAAAAACAAGTTACTCTTGTATAAGTCTGTCGTTGCTGAAACGGTTAATAAAAGGCACAGTATTCCTCTCAGCGCTTCTGAAGCACGGTGACCGCGTTCATTACTGGTGCGGCTTTTTACTTATGACTCGGTTAAATGTTAAAGCGTTTGTCTTTTGTTCCCAAGCTGAATCCTAAGATTGCTTTATGTATTCGAGAAGGCGGTACGGGTATGTGCAAGGCACATCCAAATATTGTTAAAAAAAAAAAGGGCAGGAGGGAGGATAGCATTTTCAGGCTGCAAGAAGACGACCAGCTATCGAGGAAAAAGCCGTGATGAGCAGAAAATAAGTGATGGTACAGAACTGATTAGAAGTAAGCCTGCAACATACCAGCGAAAAGCAATTACTACTGTATAAAGACAGTTTCTATTTAACAACTGGAGTTCACCTGGCACTGAACTTTTCTTCAGAACGGTCTTGAACGGAAACATAATCTTTCAAGAAAGAATAGGCGCATTCTCGCGTGCGGGATTCGATCTTGTAGTTCCAGGTTGTCAAGAAAAAGGTACTGTTCACCTGTGAGTCAGAAACCTTCACTGGATTTCATTTGAGTTTGAAGGCTTATATAAAATGACTCGTAGAAGTGTCATTTTAGATCGACATTAGAGCGCATTCATATAATGTGGACAGGAGAAATACACCCATGCTACTATTCCTATTCAAGATCATATATTAAAAATAACGCTGAAGTCAGAATGGATTTTAGGACGCTTTGTGTGAGATGATAAAATTCTGCTAAACATTACTGTCTTTAGTAACTTGATATGTAACTAGGCAAAAAAGTAGTAAAGACCACAGTGAAGAAGTTTTTGATTTATCTCTTCTGGATTCACTCACTGCCTCGGGGGTTCGTATTTTGTGTGTGCTTGGCTAAATGTGCTTTCTTAAAGCTGAGGGACATGTAACAGAAGTAGCGAGGAAAGCCAGGTGGATGGTATTTTTGTTATATCACAAGACATTCTCGGGATGTCAAAACCGACGTTTTGAACGAAGCTGCGAAATTCTGAAAGTATTCTTGAATTTGAATTTTTACCACCGATCTTGACCTCAAAAAACGTCGCGCACCTTAGCTGGTGCAGTTTCGCATAATAAGTGTACTGATCCGCCGCCGTCTCCTGCCTTTTAATGTCGACAGCCAGGGGCTCAAATTAGCACTGAGGAGCCGGCAATGGCTGAGGTCATTGCCGATATTTCCCACAGCGTGCTGCGTTTCAACTCTCGTTACACTTCCGTGCATTACATTATTGTTCCCACCACCAGAGACGGGAAAAATAAGCATGTTTACCTACATGGGAGTACTAACCTAAGAAACAGAAAATCTATTCCGAAGATACAATATTGTACACATGTACTGTAATACAAAACCATGCAGCTGTTTCAAGAGCATGTGACCTAGGGTTCAGTTGTAAAACCAGTTTTATATGTAGCATCTCAAGCTGCAAGTAATGAAATGTCAAAGGCAGAGCCGAAGGGTATAGACTTGTGACCACAAGACCCCCACTGGTGAGACTTTATCATTTTACAGGCTCTCAGCCTGATTTTAAAGGGATGGCTATTTTCTCTGGATTTGATCCTATTGTGTCATGCCCACTGTAAAGACCCCTGGACACAATGTGCTTACTGGCCGACTTTCCAGCACTCCTGATATAAAAAAGCAATTACAGATCAGACCTTCTCTGAGAGTGATGTACTGCAAATGACACTTCAGCAGAAGAATAGTTAGTAATCTAGTTTCAGTTTAGGGAGCACGTCAGGGGTAATCCATTTCTCGCTGTGTGGAATGGCAGTTGTTGTGATAAAATAAGCCCATAGTCTCCAACTCTCCAAAATAAAGTGTCAACAAAACCCAAAGAGAAACAAAAACAGAAATGTTATCAGATTGTTGTCACTGCGAGGATACAAGCCTTGTCCTGTCCCTTACTAAGCTACAGTATTATAAATAACAGAAGATACAAAACCCTCCTGGGAGTTGTTATAGTCTATTCTGTTCTAAACATAAAAGGACAAACACCTGCAACTTTGTTTTTTTCATGGCGTTCAGAGTTCTGAGTGGAAACCTAAATCTGCAGTGCAGTTGGCTTTTTCCTCATTTGAGATGAGATCCTTTTTAGACCGTGCAGGCAGGGACAAGTCAGCTGTGGTATTTGGTGTAAGGTATACAGGGAGGCTGTTTTCCACTGGAGAGCAATGAAGAAAGCTAGCTGTTAAGATAGCTTCAAGATAGCTGATATCCCAGTAAGACAGAAGTGGCAGTCACTTTTCCCACTGGTTTGCTGATCTGCCAGACTGGACTAAAAACCTACAGTGAGATGGAAGCTGAAAAGCCTTTATAGCTCCCCTTTTCTGGCTTTCAGGTTCAATTATCATACCTGTAGGTATTCGTACATTTAGATTTGTGGGTATCAAATGTAAGAACACCACATTTGTACAGTATATAATTTCAATTGTTCTAAATAACAAACACAAAGTGGAGTTCAATCTGGTGTTGGCCTTGACATCACAGAAGGCTAATAACTCCATCACATTAAAACCCAAGAATGAGGATAAAGTAGAGCAGGCAATTCAACTCATTTGGTTCCAGTACAAATCCAGTTACATTGCGATGAAGTGTATGCCACATGTGTATAGATACACATACACAAACCAGTTGAATAGTATTGAATTATTAGATTGTTGCATATATGTACAGTTTTGCTAAAATGGGTTTATCTTTGTCTGTTCTGGGTATTGGCAGCTATGAAGTGGATTTGATATTTGACGGTATAAAACTATTACTGGGTCGAGTCATCAGCGCTCCAGCGGGTTGTGATGATGTTCTGCATTGGCTGGATTTATGTTCACCACTTCCTTTGTAGTTGCTCAAATCTGCTCCAAACGGATTTCCAAAAAGCACATGCTTGGTCCTGTTGAGCCTAGAGCAGCAATTCGTAACGTTCGTGCTGCAAATACATGTTTTTGCAAAATTCTAACCTGACATTTAGAGTACAAAAAAAAAGATAAGCATAGATATCTCTGGAACAATTTAAAGGTTACAAAAACAGCACAGTCGAAGGTTTTCTCTCCATTACTGGAAGGCCTCTCTTTTACCTCTAGTAGACTCGGTGGAAGCAAAACTTTCATTACTCAGTCACCTGTGCACCTGCAGTTTACACAAAATGAGGAGCTACAATGAAAATGACAATCAAGGTAAAAAGAAAATACTATAGAAGAAGTTCATACTTTGGCATACAAGGCAAAGGCTGATTAAGGGAAGGGGTGATGATTTGGTACTGTAGTCCCCAAAGTATATCATTTACTTATCCATGTATATCAATCGATATTTCTTCTATGTCCCTTTCAAGAAATGCTCCTTCACAAAGAGTCAAGAGGCAAGGCTCTGGGCTTATTATTAAATCTTCTGGATTAAGGGAATTAAATCAAGTGCTGTGAGTTCATGGTTAAATGACCATTTTCAGGCAACTAAATACCTGTATAGGTAACTGAGGCACAGATTCTACTGACCTAGTTTGATGCATAAGAAACCTATCTATACTGTGTAGCATTTTTCTTCATGCCTCTTCTGGAAGGTGAATGGTTCTTTATAGCTACAGTATCACTTCCGCAGCTGATTAATAGTATGTCGGAAGTGTTGTCCCCATTGTTTGCTTTGCATGTAAGAGACGTCTCCCCGACACAAAGCAAGGCTTGCTGATGGCCTGTGTACCCACACTGAAACTATGGGCCACAGGTGATGACAGTTCCTTTCACAGCCTGCTTTGAGGTGATGGCTTACAAGTTATATTTATCCTGAAACCTAAATGGGCTTAAGCAACAGATACTGTATTGTATGTTGTGGACAAGAATGAGGAGAATTTAGCAGGGCTGCTGATTGCAATCAGACTGATTCACAGATAGGAGTCCCAGGGTCTGAGGAGGATATTTTGCCTGTAAACAGCACAACCAAAGCAGCACTCTTAAGGCAGATTGACAACCTCATTTACCCCTAACAGTGGTTCACACAACAGAGATCACCTCATGTGACTGAAACACCCTGTAACCAATATCCACTTTGAACTTCTGCCTTTCCTCAGGTGACTTAAGAAGAGGGAGATTTCAGGAGGCTCTCAGATATCCTCTTTTTTCCTTATCAGCTCACACTTTAGTTGGAGCAGCAAAGTGTTCTTAGACAGCTGTTTTCTGTTTCCTTTGCCCACACTGTATATACAATATATATTCACTAGCTTTTGGTGTCCCCACTTCATTTTTTATATTTATTATCTTCTGAAAGATTTCAGCACCGACTCAAATGTTATTTTTTGTTCTCGCCGAAATTGTAGAAATTGTAGAAATTCTGCTCAGTCCTATTTAGAAATGATGTTATTTACTCGCATAACTCATATCAAGTTTAATACTGTAAAATAATCGTATAGTGAAACTTGTGTGAAGTTCTGTGACCATAAATTGCATGCTTCCCCAAAGCACAATTGCTCAAACAGGACAAACAACATATAAATTAGCGTCTTTATAAAA